AACCGCGTGACAAACTAGGAATGTTAGGGCTTTTCCTCCACTGGATAAAGGGCATCTATGAAAAACCCACAGCTAATATCACATTTAATGGTGAAAAACTCAGCCACTTCCCAATAAGAACAGAAAAAACAAGGATGTGCACTCTCCCCACTACTACCCAACACTGGAGGGTCTGATCGGTGTGATCAGGCAAGAAAAGGAAATAAAAGGCGTCTGGGATAGACAGGAAGAAGTAAAACTATATTTACAAATGATACGATCTCGGATATAGAAAATACCCCAAAAATTCACAAAACATTTTTGGAACTAATAACTGATGTTAGGCGATAGGCTATAAGGTCAGCACATAAAAATCAACTATTTCTATACTAGCAGTGAACGATCCAAAAAATGAAAACACGAAACAATTTCATTTACAATAGCATCGCAAAGAACAAAATACTTAACTAAATTTAACAAAAAAGTGCAAAACACGGAGACTGAAAACTATAAAACCTCACTGAAAGAAACAGAAAAGATCTACTCGCATGGAAAAACATCCTGGGTTCATCAACTGGAAAATGTGGTATTGGGAAGATGGCCATGCTCCCCAAACGGATCTGCAGAGACAGCATGATCCCTGTTGAAATCCCAGCTGCCTTTTTACAGAAATTGACAAGCTGATTCTAAAATTAATATGGAAATGCAAGAGACCCCAAAGAGCCAAAACCATCTTGAAAAAGAAGAACAAAGTCGGAAGACTCACATTTCCCGATTTCAGAACTTAGTACCAAGCTACAGTAGTGTGGCACTGACAGAGGCCGATGGAAGAGAATCAAAAGTCCAGAGATAAACCCTCACGTTTATGGGCAATCGTTTTTTGACGAGGGAGCCAAGGCAATTCGGTAGCGGAGAGAATGGTCTCGTCAACAAATGGTCCTAAGTCTGCGTGGAGTCATCAGGGAAGGCTTCCTGGAGGAGGGGACAATGAAGGAGAAATGAGAGCAGGCAAGCCAGGCAGTGGGGACTCATTCACATGGTCTCCACACCTTGTTGTGAAGCTCCCCTGGGCCTGGAGGTGAGGAGGGCATGTTTTTTTTGCTTTTGTTTTGGTTTGTTTTGTTTTTAAAGATTTTATTTATTTGACAGAGAGGGACACAGCGAGAGAGGGAACACAAGCAGGGGGAGTGGGAGAGGGAGGAGCAGACTCCCCGCTGAGCAGAGAGCCCGATATGGGGCTCGATCCCAGGACCCCGGGATCATGACCTGAGCCGAAGGCAGACGCTCAATGACTGAGCCACCCAGGCGCCCCAGGAGGGCACGGTTTTAAGTCCACTTACAGGGAAAGAAACTGGGGTGAGTTACGTCATCGGCTTGACTTCCCAAAGCTGGGACCTGCGTCCCCTCCCTTACCTGAAAGAGGCCCTTATTTACCTGCCCTCTTTCCACTACCCTACAGCTGCCCAGATGGAGCTGTACGAGATGCACAGGTGCATTTCTCCCTCTTCAGGGATGGCAAAGAGCAAAGATATCTTGACTCTCTGACTCCCCCTTAATATATTAATTAGCTTGTTCTAAGGTGATAGCTTTCTGTTTCATACTTCTGAACTTAACTCAGCAAATTAACATTTGTGAATAGGATTTGGTTATGAATTTTAATGACTTCCATTCATTCACAGTCCAAACAAATTACATATTTGGTGCTCTATTTAATATGTTTATTGCCATTTTATTGTAGTCATTTGTAATGAAACAGCGTGAAATATTAATTTAAAGAGGCAATCCCATGGATTATCTCTCAAAGTGGCACACACAGAGTGTTCTTCAAAGGCTGTCCAAGGATACTCAACATTCCCTAAAGATATAACGAACTGGGGGCACCTGGCCGGCTCGGTCAGTAGAGCAGACGACTCTTGATCTCAGGGTCGTGAGTTCAAGCCCCTCATTGGGCATAAAAAAAGAAAAAAAAATACGATGAACTGATTTTTACAGTTACAAATGGCCCCAGAACAGAAATGAACCAAGGCCTTTATAAACGACATTTTTAGGGGCACCTGGGTGGCTCAGTGGGTTCAAGCGTCTACCTTTGGCTCAGGTCATGATCCCAGGGTCCTGGGATCAAGCCCCACGTCGGGCTCCCTGCTCAATGGGGAGCCTGCTTCTCCCTCTCCTGCTCTCTCTGCTTGTACGCTCTTTCTCTCTCTCTGTCAAATAAATAAAATCTTTAAAAAAAAAAGGACATTTCTAATATCTGTCTTCGATCTGCTAACGGAGAGCTCTGGGGGTCAAATGCTCTGTGAACACATTCTGGAAGGCATCTGTTCAAGACAGAAGGCCAAGGGTGTTTCCCCCACTCTGTACTCGGGTAGTTGGCTCTAGAAATCCATGAGCTAGGTGTGTTTTTTTTGTTTTTCATTTTTAAAGTATTATTGGACAATACGGAGGCAGAAGTGGTTCTGAACACAAGACAGGCAAGCTGAAAGGCACTGCTGGGGTCGTCAGGCTAAGGGATTGATAACAGAAGCACGGGAGGCCTTAGGCATGGCCACCGAGGACCTGTTACCAGCCAGCACACCCCGAGGGCAGCACCAGCACTGACCCACAGGCCAGGCCGAAAGCACAGAGCGGACAACAGAAGACTCAGAAACCCACCTGGGCCCCTTGTCTGAGAGCTGAGGTTCAGCACCCCCAAGATCCCCCACCCCCATAGTCACTGCAGGTGCATCTCTACCTGCCTTCCCCAGTGGGCCTCAAGGGTGCTGGGGTCACACCAGCACATTTTTACAGTGTGTAAAGAAGGAAAATTTGGTACATTTTTGTTCCAGATATATTCGGGAACACTGTATTTGAACCGCATTCACGAAGTGCTTCCAAAGCGGCTCTTCAAGGGGACACCACTTGTGTATGAGTCCAGGTGGGGAGGCAGGGGTCTACAGCCGCACTGTCCTGCAGGCTGGCCGGGGCCATTTAAATTCACATCCGTTAAAATTAAATAAAGTTAGAAATTCAGTGCCTGTGCTGTATCAGCCACATTTCAAGAACTCGACAGCACAATGGGCAGTGCAGACCGGCAGACCACGTCTATCATCGCAGAAAGTTCTGGAAAACAGGGCCCACCTTTAGCTGCTGGGACACACCCAAGGTACGGACTCCCACCTCCTTACCCACCTCCTGACCGTGTGCCAGCCTCGCCCTCAGGCCCACCCCCAGCTCCCCAGCCCCTCCCAGCCAGCCCCCATCATGTGCTCTGGGAATCAGGTTTTGGCACACCTCCCTCCCCCCACATACTTCTCCCTGCAGGTCTCAGCTTCCTATGCCCGCTGTAACTAATTACTACAGACTCCATAGTTCAAAACGGCAGGAGCTTACGATCCTACACTTCTGGAGGTGTCAGAGGCTAAAATGGGTCAATGGGGCTGTTTTTTACAGAGGCTCTAGGGGAGAATCCATTCCTTACCTTTTCCAGCTCCTTGGGGCCACAGGCATTCCTGGACGTCACTCCAACCTCTGCGTCCTGCTTCCGTCCTCAAGCCTCCTCTCTGACTCTGACCCTCGTGATGACACCAGGCCCACCCGGATAATCCAGGCTCTTTCCCTCCCCATCCCAAGATCCCTCACTGAATCACATCTGCAAAGTCTCCTTCACTATGTAAGGTGACACAATCACAGGGACACTGACGTCCCTGGGGGCCATTATTCTTCCTGTCACACACCACCCTCCTTCACTCTAGGCCGGGAAGAAAGAGGGGGTCCCCAGCATCCGTCTCCCCTGTAGCCCCACAGCCCCTACAAAAGGACAATAAAGAGTCCTCATACCCAGATGGCTTAGGAGAGGCAGGTGACAAGTCCGAGGTGGCAGGTGGGCATCCCCCAATGCCCTCGCCAGGACACTGTCCGGAGTCTCAATGCTCAAGCTTTCAAATTGTATCAAGTCCCACCAAGGGTCTTAAAGGTCATCAGATCTGGGTGTAGGAAAACGAACTGCATGCAAGCTTCCAACAAGAAATGACTCTCTTACATGGGACTGAGCAAACCGCTATCCGGGACCCACCACCACCCTCCAGACCCTGGTTTTCTACACATTGTATGGACCAGACCCAACTGCCCCACGTGGCTGTCAGATAAAACACCTCCTTTGTCTGACCTATGCGCAGCAGCAGAGGACGCCAGGATGGACAAGGTGCTCACGGCCAAGCCGTGGAAACACCTGGGGAGGCTCCCCACGGCGGCCTGCTCGGATGGGCTGGTGAGGCGGGACGGCCCTGTATTCAGCCTAGAGCATCAGGGAAGCCTTCCTGGAGGAGGTGCCACTGGATGAGTCTCTAAAGAAATGAAGTTGGCCCAGAATCCTTTACAAGGAAATGTTAAAGTTCACATCATCCAACTCATTCACTCCAGAAATAAGTTAACAAGCTGAGATGGGGAGTGAGTTCGAGGTCACGTGGCTAATAAGGGGTGAGGTCAGTCAGGAAGGATAGGGCATGCTGTGATACGAACGGTCCACGATCCAGCAGCTGGACCTGACAGAAGCTCATTTCTCACTCATGCTCCACGTCCGGCGTGGGCGTCCACGGGAGGCACACTGTGGTCAGCCAGTGAGGCAGGCAGGCAGGCATCTCCACCCGGCCACCATCACCACAAGGCAGACCGTGAACTGGCTCCCAAAACCCCCTCCCGATGGGACCTGCCCCACGGCCGCCCCTGCCTCACTGGCCAAAGCAAAGCACGTGGCTGTGCTTCACCTTGAGGCTGGTGGCACGCGTCCTGCCGTGGCTTGAGTCCCCGGCACATGGCGAGAACCCCAGGGACCCGGTCCCCTGCCTGCCGCTGGGTCCCCTGCACATGGGCATGTAGACACAGATGGAATCAGTGCTCCCGCCTCCAGGAAAAGCACGTGTTTCAGGTTCTCTGCAGGGGTAAGGGGGACTGCTGGAGACAAAGGTCTGGGCACAGCCTCCCTGCGACACGAGGTCCCACGGTCCCCCAGAGGAAACCAGCAGTCCACATCCCGGCTCACTTACTATTGCAGACTGACGCCAAACTGCTGGGTGGGCAGAGGGGGCCGTGGTGGTGGTGTCCTGGCAGGAGGGGGTGATCTGCCCTTGTGCAGCTTCTGGAGCTTCTTGTCATACCTGCAGACATGGCAGAAGCACAGCTCTCACCTTGCAGGGGAGGAGCCGCGGGCTGCGGGGACCAGGTGCCCCATGAACATCTGTAGGACACCCTCGTCCCGTCCTTCTGGGCCACGGGCCACACCACCATCCCACACACATGCATACACACACACTCTCCCCCACTACCATGGTGTTCACACAAAAGGCAGAGAGAATAATCCAACCCTAGCAAATGTCCAATCTCTCCTGCCAACCCCTGGCCAACATTTCACCCACGTGTCCGCACAAAGGCTTCCCTCTGCTGGAAGCACCCTTCCCCACCTCTTGACCCAGCCACCTGTCCCCTGGAAACTCATTTCTTCCCGATATCCCCTTGCCACTAGTCCCCTCCCCAACTGTTGTCACCGACTTGAGGCCCCCCACCACCTGGGAGCATCCCGGGGGCAGGGTCACTCCCCACATGGTTCTGTGTGCCCAGCTTCTGGCGTGCGACTCGGCGCCCAGGAGAGCTCAACATCTCCCCTGCCCCTGCAAGCCTGCCCACCTCCCTGCAGCACGGCAAGGGCCCTGCTCCCTCCAAGGAGCCCCCGGAGAGGGAGATGCAAAGGGCCGGGGGTCCAAGACCTGCCCTTGCGTGGCTGTGCGGCCAGCCGGCCACACGCCTTCCTCTGCACCCCATGGGAGAGACTGTGGAGCGGGGATCCCCGCTGCCATATAAACTCAAGTAGCAAATAGGCTTTCGAATAGGCTTTCAGCAAAAGCCACCGGGTGGGCTGGCTTCCAGAGCACCTGCGACGCGCCTGAGAACATTGCATTCCGTATACGGCGTTATCCACACGCCCGAGAAACTCCCCTGCTCCTCTGCTCCCAAACACGGTAAACTCCAAGGCGGCCAACAGCAGTTACCGCGATGGCTTAGTATTTTTAAATCAGTTTGCCACGGGGGGAGGGAAGAGCCCCGCGTCTGCGTGCACAGCCTGCTGCAGGCTCAGCTCCCTGAGTCAGCAGTTAGCATCCTTGCTGACGCTGCATGTCTTGGGGCCGGATCTGCGGGCCGCACGTTTGAAGGCGCAGCCTTCCACGCTAACGGGATGGGCCGAGGCCTGTGGCATCCCCTGGGGTGTTTCTACACCTCTCGGGACAGGGTCCGACTCACTGCAGAACCTCCGGGGGGACGATCAGCTGGTCATACTTGAGGTGTTCGCGGAGCTCACTCAAGTAATTGAAATAGATTACTTTTTTCCCAAACTTATGACTAAAAAAGCAGAAGCAGGAGGATAAAAATGATGAGACGGAGAGGCCGTGCCGGGGGCGGGGCGGGGGCCGGGGCTACGGGGAAGGCAACACAGGCGCTTTTCATATAAGAAACCGTAAGTGCTGACGCCAGTCGAAACCCGAACATAATAGAAGCAGCGCACGTCTGCAGATCTTTTGCTTTCATAAGAACTCGGGTGCACGAAACACTCGGGAGAGTCTCATCTGCATAAAAATAAAGATCTGCCTCCAGTCTGAATCTGCCATGAATCTGCACGTTCGGGAGACAGTGGGGAGGGGCCCGGAGGGCTTGCGGTTTCTGGCTCCGGGGTGCCTTCCTGCTTGGGCACCCCCTCTCTGCGAGGGTCACACAGGCGCTGCCCGCTTTCTCTCCAGGACGGTGTCACTCAGGAGGCCAGCCTGGAGTGAGCACCGTGGACACAAGCCCCAGCCGAATCCGCTTCCCCCTACCTCTCAGGGCCTCAGTCTCCCCCTCGGAAATGGGTTCTCCCTCTGAGTGAGACTGTCTGGGAAAACGTCCACTGTCCCACACCCGGTACACACCACCTGGGACCGCTGCTACCAAAGAGCCCGCTCCCTGAGCTACAGAGCAGGGACAAGAACAGGATCCAACGGGTGAGGAGTCACATGCCCGGCCCCGCACCTGCTCCTGGTAAGTGATCACCGCCTGCCTAGCTCCTCATCGTGGCTCTACTGGAGGGTCACTGGCACCCACAGAGCTGGACAGATTTCACGGGCACGATGTGGGGAGCTGGGACACATGCATACGCCGTGATGCCATCACCACCGTCATGGGAACAAGCCGATCCATCGTCTACAAAGTGTCCCTCGCATACCCTTGCTGTGTGTGTGTGGTTAGAACACTCAACACGAAATGTACCCTCTGAACAAATTTTCAAGGGCACGACACCGTGTCATCAACCGCAGGCTCCACGCTGGCTGTCGGGCAGACCTCTCGAACCTCTTCCCTGGTGTCTCACGGAAGCTGAGCTGTTTTATCACAAGCCCGCCTGGAGCTGAAGCCTGCGGGAGGCCCAACCGCGTGCACTGGCTCCCCCTAGTGGGTGAGCGGGAATCAGGCCAGGTGCCCGGACCCCTAGCCACCTGCCCTCAGGGGCAGAGGGGGCCTGCCCATTCCGCATGCATGGCCGGCCCTGGGGGGGACACAGGTGTCAGCTTCTGAGCTGCAGGGAGACCTCTGGTGCCAGCCCCCTGCCCATGTAGGAGCACCCTCCAATGTTCGCTGTGTTTCTTCTGCCTGACCTCCTCCGGCTGGCCAGACACTTGCTGGTCACTGGGCTCTGGAGGGCAGATGCAAGCCGGGCCCTGCTTTCTGCCCCTCATGCCCCGGAAAGGCCTTGGGGCAGTGCATCCCAGGGACGGCAATGCAGGTGTGCGGGCAATCCCCAGGCCCCACACCCAGAGGGTCAGAGTCAGAGGTAAGGGGCCAGGCCTGCGGACATTCCTGTTCATTCTCGGGCATTGGGGAGCCTCTGCACTTGTTCTCTTCACTTCCAAATGAGGACTCCAGGGCTCAGAGAGGTCACACAGCTGCCTGAGGCCACACAGCCAACAGGCGGCAGAGCCCGGTCCAGACTCCAGGGTCTCCAACCATGATTCCCGGGGTTCTCTCCTGGCACCTGTTTATGGCCATGCCTGAGGCAGGATAAGTGGCAGAACCACACGGGCTTGAGCTAGAATCCCAGCTGAGCCGTGACTTAACCTCTCTGAGCACCAACCTCCTCTCCTTTGGAAGAGGGAGAATACAGCTGACCCCATGGGGCTGTTTTGGGGTGCTATGCATGTAAGGTGTATAAGAAATTGTGATAAATTAATCACAAAAGGGTAGTGAACAATTTTTTAAAACGATGTTAGCAGCAAACACTAAGAATCTGCTAGGGCCAGGCAGGCCTTGTTCTAAACACTCTGCGTGTACAAGGCAACAAACTGTGGCAACAACAGAATGCGTGCAGTGATGCCATCAGCTGCACAGGGAAACCAAGGCAGAGGGAGGCTGTATCTCCTGCCGGGAGGACTGGGTGATCAGAGGCGGGGCAAAGACAAGCCCAAGCTCCTGAACCACCACAGCATCTGGGCTGCTGCATGACGGGCGGGGGGGGGGGGTGATTATTTCCCCGAGAACTCAGAGAGGTTTCTAGAACTCTTGAGAGCTTTGCTAAGGTGTACGACAGCGCCAATGAGCAGAAGAACATCTGAACTGTCTTCTCGGGCAGTTGCGTCACCAGCACTGGCTTCCCCACGATGTCAAGTACAGGGCCAGCAGGTTGGTCCTGGCTAAGCAACAGAGCAGACAGACAAAATCCCAGCTTCCTAACAGGCATGGGTCTGCGGCGGCAGGACGGGCAAGCCGTGGGAAAACTGGCGGGCAATTCTCCTACAACCAAAGGAACTCTGGCCACAGAAGTCTCTCCCTGCATTAAATGGGAGCAGACTCAGGTCTGCTATTCCAGAAATTCTCCAAGCGGAGCCTGCAGATCTGGGAGCTGCATCCGACCCCCCTGGCAGGGCCACGTGGGCCCCACTCTCTGGAATGAGTGCTGGTCTGAGTTTTGTGAGTCCTTGCAGTGAACCACCAAACCTGAGGTGGTCTTTGAGACCCCCGACACAGGTGCATAAAGTGGCCAGGGTGGGATTTAAAAATACCAGGTGCAAAGCTCACCGGTATCGTGAGCTGGTGTTCCTATTCAGGACCTTCAGGACCGTCAGGACCGTCAGCCCCATGACCCGCCATAGCCACGGGGTGGGAGGTGTACCCCAGACACATGGGTGCCCCAGAGATGAGACCTCCACAAGGCCACATAGGGAGAGCCGTCCCCCACCACCACCACCACCGAGTCCGCAGGATGAAGCCTCCCACCCCAGCGAGGTTTTCACCAAGAATGCCCCGTACCTGATGAGGGGTTTGAAGATGGTCCACAGGACCTTGATGAAGTTGGTGGGGTGCACAGTGTACAGTGCCTTCAAGTTCTTTTTGTACCTAAGGAGGGAAGCGTGAGATGACTTCAGAGCAACAAGCCCTACACCCTAAGGTGGGTAACCACGAAGCCCTAACCGCTAGCCTCAGAACCTTTGCTCTGTCAACAGAGCCAATTTAAGAACACTGAACCAAAAGCTGAAGGGGAAAATCAGGACCTCTCGTCCGCCGCCACCGACTGGCATGCGCGCAGCACTTTACAGTTTGCAAGAACAGAGCCCCCACTTACGGGTGCCCGCCCACACCGGGAGGCGGGGGGCTCGCTGAGCCGTTCACAGCGGCAGGCTGTGGAGTGAGCCATAGCACACCCACACCACGGGGTATGGGGAACCCACTTAAAAATGGGGTGCTACTTAGCTTGCTTGCTCCCCTCATTCCAGAATAATTCAGTCCAAGGCCATGAGGCTAAGCCAAGGAGGTTGGCACCACCCGGGGTGGAGACAGCAAGGGCAGGCAGGGTGGCCGCGGCCCCGCCTGGCGTTGTCTGAGGGGAGGAGGGCCGTCCGCACAAGCCAGCAGCGGTCAGCCAGGGGCACCCTGGCCAGCTCTTATCCACTCACAAGAGCCGACTGATTGTCAGAATTTCAGGCATTTGGGGAACCAGTTGTGAAAAACATATTAAATAATATAAACACGTAATTAAGGAAATCATATTAAGCACCAAGGTACTATATATTCAAAACTCATCACTTGCTCATTATTTTACTACATTTACTCCTTCCTGTGCCCTTAACACTATTTGCTGCATCTGAGTAAGGGAAGTCCATACTGAGCATCCGCCCGATCTGTGTCCAGTGGCGTCATGCTGGTAGCTTGAAGCTGGCCGCGGGGGCAGGAGACCCGCCCCTGTCACAAGCCACCCACCCCAAGCTCCTTCAGCCTAGCTCCCCGCCTCCCGCAGCACAGCCGCGACCCCTCCTCTCACCCGGGCTCCCCACCACTCAGCGCGGCCCTGGGCCCCCCCCCCCCACGCACCCCCCCCAGGGCTCGAGCACACACACGTCCTGTCAAACTCCTTGTAGGTGCTCTGCAGCCAGCCCAGGGACGGCTTGTTCCGGCTGTTCGGCCCGTAGTGGAAGCAGACAACAGTGTGATCACTCTCCACGTACTGGTCCAGCGTGTGCTTCAAATACCTGGGCACAAAGCGGACTCGGCTTCGAAAATCACCCTGTCACTGTCACCAAAACCAAGGATGCTTTCCCCAGCACAGAAGCCGTGGTCGCCCAGTGGGTGCCAGCCCCACCAGGTCACAGGGGGACCAACCTGCAAGAGGGCCCTGTCCTCGTTTGTTAGAGGAGGCTCAGAGAGGTTGAGCCCTGAAGGTCACGGTCACCCAGCTAGCAAGCGGATGTGACAGGCCAAAAAATGGTCCAAAAGAGACAACCACGTCAAATCACGGGAGCCCGTGAGTGTGACCTTATTGGAAAAGGGTCTTTGCAGGTGTGACTAAGGCCAGGCTGTTGCAAGGGGGTGTTTCTCCTAGCTTATCCAGGCGGGCACTAAACATACCACCTGTGTCCCAACAGGACAGAAAAAAAGGGAAATCACAGAAGGGGGCTGTGTCTGAGAAGAGAGAGGCAGAGTAGAGAGTGACGGGGTGCCCGGCTCTGCCAACACCTTGGTTTTGGCCTTCTGGCTGTGAGAATAAATGCACTGTTTCATGCCACCCAACCCAGTGATGAGTTAGTAGCAGCCGGCGGGAAGTAACAGAGGCCACGCTGAGAGGCAAACCCAGGACAGACCCCGTGCCGTTCTGCTGCATCTCTAGGAGCATGCAATTCCTCCCTTCCAGATTAGTTCTGAGAGTTTTTTCTCGTCAACATAAAGCAGAGTCCTGACTCTGCCCTGCTTCTGTCACATGACCACATGCCACAGTATGAGTCCCACAAAGCTCCGCGATCGCTTCCAGCCCTAGGCCTTGTCCAGCCACCCGCAGGAGGACCGCTCCAACGTCCCTTGTCATTTTGGCAGGGGCCGCCGACATCGAGCAGGTCAGACCGGGCTGCCCGAGGCATCACCTAAAGCACATCTCATCCTTAATTCAGCCCGCCTCCCGTGAGCCCGTGGCAGGGAGCAGGCCTGCTTTCGCTGTGTGCCCTGCCAAGGCAGCCTGCAGGGAGCTCTGGGTCCAACGGGTGTGGGCCGGGTGCTCCTGGGGACAAGCATCCGCAGCACAGCTCCAGGAGAAACACCCAGCAGTCCCTGTCTGCAAGTGCTCAGCGGCTCAGGACACCACGGGGGGACCTTTATCCTGCACAAAAGGATGTCGGCTTCTCCTCTGCTCGTCTGACTACAAGCATCATCAGAGCGCCCTCGGCCCAAAGCACTGACTCTCTGAACAGCAGGCTTTGCACGAATTTTCTCACTTAATCCCCACCACAGCCCTGGAGGCAGGCACTATAGGCCCATTTTACAGAGCAGTCAACTGAGGCCAGCCGAGGAGAACCAGGAAGCGGTAGAGCCAGGATGTGAACGGAGCAGTCCACTCTCTTGCCCACGCTGTCCTGCCCCCAGAGAGCCACGCGCTCCCACCTGTCGTCTCTGATGTATAAACCTGAGGCAAAGCTGACCTGACGTGTCCGAGGTTTGGGCTTATCTGTTGGGGAAGCAGCCCCAGTGCCCAGACACTCTCCGGCACACTTGCTCAAACACCCTTTGGACTAATCCACTGGGGAACTCTTCACTGAGGCCATCCTTCTGTCCCCCTCAAAGACAGAAGCCAGGCTCAGATCTGTAAGTCCACAGACCACCTGCACCGCCAGGAATGCCTCAATCCTACATGGATGGTCGCCTCTGCATTTCTCAGCTCTTGGGAGGGGAGACCAGGGGAACGTCTCTGGTCAGCTCACTTATCCACACTGGACACTTGGACACTTCCGGTCCAAGCAGGCACCCTTCCTCTGGCCCAGCGTGCTCCCCAGTTCTTCCCGCGAGCAAGCCGAACTCTCTCCCTGTCAGGGTACATCTGCCACTCGGCGTGCTCAGCGCAGGAAGTCATTAACTAAATTACTGGTTGAGCTTCAAGGACACGGACTTATTTCTTCACCCACTGCAAAAATAGGAGCGCACATCTGGCCACAAGAAAGCTACTGCTTGGACAGGGAGAGGGAGGATGGTGTGTGCGGTGGCAATGTTTTCCATGGAAACATGGAAAAGACTCCATCTTGGCACTCTTCCTAGCAAGGCCAAGAAGCCCACAGGGCACCTTTGAGTAAATTAGAAAAAGGTGCTCCTTTCTTTAGATAGACACCCTCCAGCATTGGGTGAGAGGAGAGGCAGCTGGATGGCAGCCCATCATTGTGTCGCCCTTGTGCAGTCAACAACCTACACAACTGTTCACAGAGGCTGTGCTGACCACTTCCTTCTGGTAGTGAAGGTTTCTGAGGCAGGCACATGAAAAAACACAATATACCCGTTATTGTCAGAGATGGTTTTGTTTTTTTTCTTTTTTGGATTGAGGTTAAATTCATAACATAACATTAACCATTTTAAAATGAACAATTCAGTGGCATTGAGCATATCCACCATGTTGTGCAACCACCACCTCCATCCAGCTCCCAAACATTCTCATGGCCCAAAAGAAAGCCCATAGCCATGAACGATTACCCTGCCTCCTGCAACCTCCTGCTTTCTGTCTGTCGGGGATCCTTCTGTCTTTACAAGGAAACAAATCCTGAACACCTCCTGGCCCAGCAGTGTACCTTCAGGGACAGCTGACCCTCAGGTCATGGGTTTGTGATGCCACAGAAGGAATAATCTGGCAAGGGACCCATGTTAACCTTGGAGGACCCCAGATAGGAGCTCTCCCTTACCCGGCACCCCTCTCTCTGTGTGCCCCGCATGTGCAAGCATGCTGGAGGGAGGCCAGCACTGCCCAGGAGCACCAGCTCACCGCCCAGAGTGACCTCATGGACTCCATGGCAGATCTTGCCACACAGCAGCAGTGCGGGCTAAAGACTCCTGAGCCCCTGGGGCCAGCAGGGTTCCTGCTGCCACACTGTATTTCCCACTGCTGTCAGAAGATCCTTTAACAGACCAGACTGGAGACTTGGGTCAAGGGGATTCTCACAAACCAACCCCCCAAAGGCTCTCAAGTGCTTCTGGGACCCGCTCATGTTTTCATTGGAGCTGGGGGCTCTGGGGCATGGCCACTGTGCACTATGCCGTGGGTGGAGAAGTGGGTGGGCCGGAACGGTCGGACCCGGGAACGGGAGCAGTGCCGGGACGGCGGTCAGGATGCGCCGACCCTCCCAGCACCTCTCACGAGGTGCAGGCTCCCGCCAGGAAGGAGGCACCAGAAGCAGCAGACCAACCCAGAGTGCAGACACCAGCAGCAAGGGGCAAGACGGAGGCGGGTGACAGCGGTCAAGGCCGCACGCAGGCAAGTGGAAGCCTCTCCTTCCACGCAGAGGAGACGAAGCAGATGCCGAGGGTGGGGGTCCATGTGGCTTAGAGAGGCAGGGAGGTCTGTGTCCCCAGTACCCTGGGTCTAGGCTCAGAGCTTCAGACTGTAGACCTACAGCCACTCTGGGCTGTGAAGCCATGAGTCCAACAGGTGGCTCTGGTGACCTGGCAAAGGATAAAACACCCACCTGGGGACCTGCGAGTCGATCTACATTTATGAGCCTTTAACCCCGAGCATCCCATCTGTGCTGACGGTGAGGGCAAGGCATGTGCGCGGGCAGAGGGAGACACACGCGGTGGCGGGGAAGGCAGCCTGCAGGGCGTGCGTGCACTCGGAGCGTGCGTGCACGGGGGTGGGGAGGCGTGTGAGCACGGGGAGCGTACGCACACACAGAGGGGCGTGTGTGAACACAGGCACCGACAGGACTTACTCCAGCAGACGCCTGTGGTTGAGCTCGTGGGAGGGGGGCATCTGGCAGCAGCTGAAGGTGATGACTCATCTTCCAAAGCGGTCCTCCCCTGCAGGAGCAGACATGGGCATGAGCCCCAGCAGCACCCAGGGCCGCCTTCTCGTGGAACAGCCCCAGGCGTTCACGGAAAACGGGAGCCTCCGGAGCAGCCCCCCCTGACCTAAGAGGCACAGGCGGCTTGCAGGTAGCAAACAGAGCACCTGCCGAGTGAGCATCTACTACACGACGCTGGGTACAGGAGCCAAGCTCATGTTCAGCACCAGCCCGCACGCAGAAGCTGCGGCCTAGTGGGATTAAGTCCCCAGTGCAGAGCCGCATGGCCGGCCAAGGGCACCCGGGCTGGAACCCAGATGCATCTGGCTTCACAGCTAGTGTTTGGCTACCCTGCCCACTGCCTCCGCCCCACAGAATCAGAGCGTCGCCCTGAGCACCCCCAGGACCCTGGGCCTTGCAAAAGGCTGGGGTGGTCTGGGGCACAGTCACCCCGGACGTGACCTCACGGGGTACAGGAGTCCTGATGCTCAGTGCTGGCCCCCAGCGTGGTCCCGGGGACCCTGCAACTCTCCTGACACAGTGGTGCTCACCACATGTGGGACAGTGCGCGGGGGGGAGGGAGGTGCTCCCCAAGGGCCGGTTCCTGTCTGATCATGTGTGTCCCCAGTACCCAGGCTTGTTGCCCATGCCTGTCCTCAAATTATGTCCAATAATCTGTCACTGATTGACTGAAAGATGGATTCTAGAACCTGAAGAAAGCAAATACCTTTCTAGAAATTACATTGCTTTAAACTCACTTTCATTGTGAAGGATTTACAGCTGTTTCCAGGGGTTTACTTAAAACGAGAGGATGAGAACAGGGCTTTCCCACCCCCTCCAGCTCTGAACCGAACTAGTCAGGACAGTACACACGCTTGCTCGCACGCACACAGGCGCGCCACAGGCACACCCACGTGAATGCTCGTGCCCTGTCCTGACTGCACACCCAGGATGGCTGCTTGTTACTGAGGACACGTCTGGATCTTCCCAGGAGCCCAGAAGCTACTCTGATATTCAGAATTCTTGAGCTGTTCCGGTTTCCAGACACAGCACCTTCTCATTTCCGAGGCTCCTTAGGGATTCTGCTCATGCTCCCCATGTGTCTAGAAAGCCCCTGTTAGGAAAGACTGCGCCGGAAGCCTCACCAAATGGGGGCTTTGGGCACAAATCCTTCAATGGCTGCGCCCGGGAGGGGAGTGTCTTCCACACAGTTTCTAGCATCTGAGGCCAGGGTCCCGTGGCCACGCTGTGTCTGTGCCCATGTTGGGGCACGAGAGAAAAGGACAGCGTTGCTTCTCAAGCTGGGATCTTCTGTGTGGCTACCGAAGCAACAGGAATTAATTTCCCCTAGAGGTGGAAGAGAAAGTTAGCATCTGTGATGAAAGGTCAAGAACCCCGAGTGGCATTATCATCGTCAATCAGGCCAAGTGGAAAGTCTCGGGATGTACTAAATAATTTGGCAAATGGAAGACTAGGTCAACAAGCGTTCAATGGAGGCCCACTGTGCACTCAGCTGTGGGAAGAAAGACCAGACACGGCCCTCGCCTGGCCCCACCATCCCGGGCAAAGGACAGTGATGTGGGGATGGGGTCTTCGCCCAGCTCCACAAGCCCCTGAGAAGCTGGGGGGCTCCAGCAGCCAGAGGCTACATCTCCAGTGCCTTCCACCTGGTTGGGCTTAAGCCACACCTCACAGGCGAAGGGCTCCATCCTCCACAGAGAGGTCCTCACTTCAGACAGCAGCTGCTGGTCGGGGGTCCCAGGCCACCCCGCTTCTGACCAGCTGGCTACAAATCCAGAGGTTCCCATGACCCCCTCACGATCGGTAATTCACTAGCTCACTTGAATTTTATCATAAAGAACACCAAAAAAAGGGAGATGCCAGGGAGCAGGGTGGGAGGGTCCTGGACGTGGACCCCCCCATGCCCTCTCCCCCTGCAGTCAGGCAGATCGACACGTCACCAACCACCCAGGGCACGTGGCTCCAGAGTCCTTACTGGTTTCATCACAGGGGCGTAGCTGACAGAGTCATGATTCAATCAATACTCAGCTCAATCAATCAATCAATCCAGATCGATTCCCTGGCAATGGACTGAATGCAGTCTCTAGCCCCTGGAGGTCACGAAGCACCGACCCTCTGATCCGGTTGGTCCTTCTGGCTCAGCAGCCCCGTCCTGAGCTGTCTTGGCAGCATACACGACCCGGGGTCCCCCGGGAGCCTCCTCTCTGGCATAAACCAGCAGGAATCACAAAGCTGCTATCACTTGGGAAATTTCAAGGATTTAGAGGTTACTTCCCAAGAATCAGGGACAAAGGCCAGACACATCATTTACCCCACCGCGTCGCACTACCCTGCACCCCCACCATGACCTACCGTGCCAGAGGGGTGCGCTGCGGGGCTGTGGAGGGGCTGCCACCCAGCAGGCCAGAGACGCAGAGGCCAAGCTCCAGAAAGGGAAGATGAAGCAGGAACTGGGGCTGCAGGCAAGGCCTTGCTGAGGGCAGAGCGGACATCTGTTCACAGGGCACCCCGGTAGGCCGAGGAACAGCATGGGGTCTGACACAGGCATGCCCCCGCGGGCCGCAGGCTGTCATGGGAAATGATGGTGGAAGGAGAGGTCAAGGCCACAGGGACGAGAAGGCGGGGGGCAGAGCCCTCCAGGACTGGGGAGGGGCTTGGTGTCCAGGAATGCCAACCCACCAGGCAAGGCCAGGAGGTGGCGGGTCACCATCAGACACCAGGGCCCTGCCCTGCTCAGATCACAGGCCCCGCTTCCCTCCCGACCCTGGTTTGCCGGTCTGCCGAGGGCGGGTGGGAGGGGTTCCTGGCCTGTCCGAGCCCCCCCGCGATTGCTGAGAGGTGCTGTGCTGGCCAGGCGAGGGGACACACGACCGCGGCTCAGGTCAGTGGGCCCAGCGGGTGGAGGGCGTGCAGAGGCAAGGCAGGTCAGGGGCAGAGTCTGGACTCCGTTCAGCCAGCGATAGGGCGTGAGGGGCACTGAGCAGGCCGTGAGCCCTGTCCGTCCACCGTCTGCAAACAAGGCTGAGGAGCATCCCTGGACCGAGCACAGCCCGGGCAAGCCAGAGGCAGACACACGGAAGGGGCCTGGGAGCCCAGTGCCCACATCTCGCCCAGTCCCTTCTCATGCTGCTTGTATAAAGCACTGACTTGTTCACTCTGTCACTGCACGAACACTTATTGTGCACCTACTGTTTGCACAGTTCATCAGCTTGCAGGATGCTGAGCTACCAGTGAAGGCTTTTTACTTCCCTCAAAATCAAAAGGGCAACTAACTTAGCATTTTCTTTTCATGTCAACAGATTTCTAAATGTCCCCGAAGCTAACATCCCAGCATTACTCAGACTGGACAGACTCACGAAGCTTACAGCGAAAGTGGCGGTGGGCACACTGGGTTTGTGAAAAAGGAGAGAAGGACAGGGCTGGGCCCTGGCTCCGGGGACAGAATCCCTGTCCCCTCACAGCCAGGCAGCCCCGAGCCAGCCTCTCTGCCGCTCTGCAGATACAGGCTCAATAATAAAAGTGGCTGGGAAGGGGCATCTGGGTGGCTCAGTTGGTTGAGCATCCAACTCTTGGCATTGGCTCAGGTCATGACCTCGGGGTCGTGGGATCGAGTCCCGCATCAGGTTCCATGCTCATCAGGGAGTCCGCTTGAGATTCTCTCTCCCTCTTGCCCTCCCCATGCTCTCTTTCTCTCTCTCTCTCGAATAAATAAATCTTAAAAAAAAAAAAAACAACACTGGCTGGGAAGGACCGAGTCAGTAACTTCAATAAAGTCTTGGCATAGCCGTGGCATACAATAAGTGCTCAATAAACACGACCCGTTTCCACAGGCCAGAGATGGGTGCCTCCAGGTGTGCCATTTCATTTACAGACGAGGGAGCTGAGGCCCGTTGGAGTGGGGTTCATGCTCACAGCTGGCCGGCTCCGAGGGCGGCACCCCCAGCCTGGCAGGCACAGTGCCCTCTGCCCCTGAGTGCCCCGCGCCGCCCGCGGGCAGGCCTCCCAGGAGGCCCAGAGGAACCCCCGGGACAGCCAGGCCTCCCACTTACTAAGCAGTCAACACGGCACCTGCATTAATGACATCAGTCAATATGAGTAAATACCCCTCTGTCGTTCTCTGCTAACACAGGCCAGCGTATCGAAAACGGGCTTCAACATGATATAATGTGGAAGGAAATGAAAACTATCAATAAAATGCAAATTCTGCGAGGCATCAGTTTAATTCATGACCCTTATTCCTCCCCTCACTGTGTGCCACACAACATCGCTCACTGTCTCCGAGACGGGGGAAGCCCAGTTTATGAATAAAGAAACGGCTCCCGGAGCCATCGCCCGGAACGCGCTCCAGACAATCCGTCATCTGCTCCAAGTGAAGGACGATTAAAATGCATAATAAAGGCAGTAGCAATCTAACCAGGAGTGATTTGGGAGTTTGTCTCTTTGGGTTTTTGTTTTAAGGCTGCTCATCTTTTTTTTGCAGAAATAAAAGGAGACCTGAAGGCTCATTTTGTCTGCATCCTGCAGGGAAGGGATCTGAGGGGAAAGATCTGGATCTGGGGCGGCGAACTGTCATCCAGGAGGACCAGATCCGCCTGTCCCCCCCTTCTCTTCTCTCTCACTGCCTCCGCGTCTCTGGATTACACCTCCGGCCTCTCTGCTCCTCAGGCCCAAACCCACCCCGGCCTACCCTACTCTCCACCCTTGTCATCTCCTTCTGGGCTCACAGCCCCAGCCCCAGAGCTCCAGACGGTGACCACTTCTTAAAATGATGAAATCAACTTTATTTACAAAACACTATCTTAAAGAATTACAATTCTACAAAGCCTCTATTTGGCCACGTGCACACCCCTTAAATATAGACAGATCATTCTATTACTTTGTACAACACTCCAATTTCTAGCTACGGTTCTGGATGTCCAGCTCTGGGGGAAGTGACACCCAGAGATGAAACTAGGGGGAACCCCTGGTGGGGAGTGAGGTCTGCTCATGCCCAAAGTAGACCCCTTGGCAGGAGTCACAGGGTGGCCCACGTGGCTTCCCGGTGGAGCAAGGGGAAGGGTTCCAGGTCGTGAACTGTCCCCTGGGCGAGCCAGCCCCACAGGAGCATGAACCAGAGTTAGGGACGAGGGGACAGAGCCAGACGCCCGGGTGAGGCTGGGAGGAGGGGGCAGGGGACTGACCCTCAGTGAGGGAACGCCAGGGGCTCTCGCCAGGCGCTCTGGTAGAAAAGCCAATGGTGGTTTCGGGGATGCTGATTTCTGCTCTAATGATTTCTCTCTCCTTAGCCACTAGGTCCTCCGGGTCAGAGCGTCTCGATCTCCATTGCTCTAGTTCTTTGACAGCGAAGTCTATCTCAGCCACGTGTAGAGCTATCTCCATCTGGCTCTGCTCCAGCAACCTCTGCCTGACTTCTGAGGACCTCTGGTTGGGCTGGCATCTTTTAAGGGGGGGGTCTGAGGGCCTCAGATGTTCTCTGAAGATAGTTAAATGTCTCAAGAAGCTGGCGTTTAAATGAGAACTCTGCTCTAAAACAAGAGAACTCTCCAGAATCCGAGGACTGCCACCCAAGCTGTCATCCCTCATAGCATAGAAATCCGTAGCTTGAGGACAGGCTCAAGCGTTCCACCATGATGACCTCAGAGCATCTCTGGAAGAATCTGCCCACAGCTCAAGGCGCCCACAGACCCTTAACGTTAGGTCCTGAAGGACCCACCACAAACCGCGGGGCCACCCACAGCCTCACTCCAGGAAGGAACCCTGTCCTGGCCCCAGGCCCCCAGCCCAGCAGGTGGAGATGAGGCATGCAGAACAGGACCGACCCCAGCTTATTTCCCAGGGCCACCATCTCTTGACTGAATTCTCATCCCACTCTGCTAGGGCCCCTTCTCAGTCAGGTTTCGGCTGGTCCTCCAGCCTGATGGTGAAAATCTCTCTCCACAGCATGAACTCAGACCACTGTTCTTGCTCCTACTGGGGCCTCACGCAGCCGCCATCAGCAGCCCCACACCGCGGCAAGAAGGGTTACTCTAACCACAAGCCCCACAGCACTGGCCCTCTGCCTCATGTTCCCCAGAGCCCGGTGACCAAGTGCAGACTCCTAAGCACACCCTCGAGGTGCTGAGAACGTGGTCCTGCTAAGCGGCCACCTCAACGGAAGTACAAAAAGATTTCATGGGAAGCTGTCTATACATGATGCACTTCATCTGTAAAGACTGGGACCGGCTGAAGGGAAAGGCATGGAGAAGGCATACCTACCAACACCAATAAGGTCAGAGCTGGTCCAGCTGGCCCGACTATATGAACGTCAGATGCGGTTGTCATCACGGGCGCATGGCCGGACATAGAGGAGGGCACTTCAAAACAAAGCAAAGGTTGACACAACAAGAAGACATAACAACCCTAAGTGTATGTACCCCCAAAAACAAAGTGTCAAGATACATGGAACAAAAGCGGACAGAATCAAAGGCAGAAACTGACAAATTCCAACCAGGGGCGCTCTGAGCACCCCTCCGTCAACAACTGATAGATGTAGACAGAGAAGCAGAAAGAGGCAGAAATCTAGACAACACCACTCATCAACTGAACCTGACAGAAATACACAGAACATTCTGCCCAACACTGCGGGATACATATTCCTCTCGAGCGTGCAAGGGACATACGCCTAGACAGCTCATGTGCAAGGCCACCGCTTCTCAGACTTTTAGGTCTTGGAACCCATAGATACTCTTAAAAATTACTAACGTCCTCAAGGAGTTTTTTTTTTTTTTTAAAGATTTCATATATTTATTTATATATATATAAAATAAATAAATGAAATTTATTTTATAGAAAGAGCACGTGTGAACTGGGGGAGGGGCAGAGAAGGAGAGAGAATTCCAAGCAGGATCCGAGCTCAGTGCAGAGCTTGACCCGGGGTTTGATCTCATGACCCTGAGATCATGACCTGAGCTGAAACCAAGAGTCAGTCGGAGGCTCAACCAACTGAGCCACCCAGGCGCCCCGGTCCTCAAAGAGTCTTAAAAGTTTTTAAAAAGTGGGTTATTTCTATAGAAATTGACCATACTAGAAATCTAAAAGAGAAAATTTTAAAATATTTATTCATTCATTTTAAAATAACCCATTGTAGGGGTGCCTGGGTGGCTCAGTTGGTTGAGCATTTGACTCTTGATTTCGGCTCAGTTCATGATCTCAGGGTCGTGGGATCAGACCCCACATCAGGCTCCATGCTCAGCGCAGAGTCTACTTGTCCCTCTCCCTCTGCTCCTCCCCCGCTCACGCACGAGCTCTCTCTCCCTCTCTTAAATAAAATTTAAAAATCTTTAAAAATAATCCATTGCATGTTAACATAAGCAACGTATTTTTTATTCTTATGAAAAATAACTGTATTTCCTGTCTTCCTTTTGTGGGCACCTGATCTGTGCTCCCACACGGGGTCCAGCAACCATCCCTGCTCCCTAAACCTTAAAGGTTCTCCAAAATGAACATCTGGGGCTTGAAATGGCTGGCCACCTGTCTAATCCCCAACCTCTCCTTGGTCCTCTTCATGGAGTGTGCACCAAAATACTTGCCATTTGTGTCTTGGGGGCCTCCAACTATTGAGAACCATTCCTCTGTTTCATCACCTTGACAAGATTCCAGCTCTTTGGGGACAGGGACTAATGTTTATGGAGCTCAGGGCAGGGGACAAAGAGGTGAGATGTTAGGGTCACTGCCTATGACAGCTAATGCCATGTGTCACCTCGACTGGGCTCCCGGAGCCCCACATGGCTATAAAACATTATTTCTTCATGTGTCTGTGAGGGGTCTTTCCAGAGGAGAGCAGCATTTGAACCGAGTAAAGATCGCCCTCCCCAAGGCAGGAGGGTGAATCCAATCTGTTAAGGGCCCGGATAGAACAGAAGGGCAAAGGGGCGAATTTGCCCTCTGCTTGAGCTGGGCTATCCACTTTCTCTAGCCCTCAACAACTGGGGGACACCAGCGCTCCTGGTTCTCCAGAGTTTGGGCTAGGACTTAGACCAGCCCTTCCTGGGTCCCCAGCTTGCAGATGGCAGATCCTGGGACTTCTCAGCCTCCACTGTCAAGCTAGAGCCAATCCCGACTATAAACCTCCCCTCGCGTGGACCTCTCTACATCCTCCTGGTCCCGTCCCTCTGGAGGACCCCGATGTCATCGGCTTTTTCCAAACACAGGCAGGTGCTTTGGTTCCTACTGTGGCTTTCATTATGAGGCCACAGCCGGCTGGAGGGAAGTGGCCCGGATGAACCCACCCTGTGCCACAGGGTCCACGTGGCACGGTCAGTGTTCCTGGGACCACCCAGCTGCGATGCACCTGCCACCTGCAGGATGCCGTGCCTGGCCACGTCGTAGAAGGGGTGATTCATGCTCAGCGTGGGATCCTGGCCAGCCAAGGGCACCACCAACGGCCTTCTCACTATGCTCAGGGCAGCTGCCTGCTCCTCATCTTTCCGCAGCTCTATGGCAGACAACGAGGATTAGAGAAAGTCAGCTGTCTTCTCGAGGAAGAAGGGCAATGAGGGAGCCTCCTAGGGTCTTTTTATACGACAGTCACCATGCCTTAGCTGTGCACTCACTATGCCCACCTTTCCGGTGCACCCACTATACGTTTGCTCCATGTGACCCCACTATGCATCTGCTTGGTCGTGTGCCCACCCCTCCTGTGCACCCACTATGTGCCCACCTCTGTATGCACCCACTATGCGCCCGCTCAGTGTGCAGAACCATGGAAGGATAAAATGAGACCTCGGGGCTGAATACTGCCCTCCACACAGACAGGAGTGGAAATGGAGGCTCAGATACGGGGAATGAGTGCCCTAGGTCACACTGCTCAAGGACAGTGGAGTGTGGACTTGAACTTGATTCCCAGCTCCAAATTCCAACCAACCCAAGCCCTCCTTGACGATGTGGACACTGATAGCCAGCAGGAAACCACAGCTGGGCTGAGGGCAGAAATGGGTTACTGTGCTATGAAGGAGCACAAAGGACGGTCTTCCAGTTTAATTTCAGTAGAGGGGGGTTCCTTTGTGCAAAACAAATCAACACTGAGATGTTTTCACCTGAAAAAAGAATGAGACCTTCAAATTTCAGGCTAGACTTTGGTCCCCAGATGCACTGGGTGGAGGAGTGTTCCTCCAAGATTCATGCCCGCCTGGAACCTCATGATGGGACCTTATTTGGAAATGTCTTTAGAGATGAAATGAGTTCAGACACGGTCATACTGGATTAGGGTGGACCCTAAATCCGATGACTGGGGTTCCTGGTGAGAAGAGACAGAGACGCAGGGAAGAACACCACGTGAAGCGTCCTGACAGATGAGCGGTGGGCAGTGCCTTAAGCAGCAAGGGGAGCAAACCGGAAGGCACAATGACGGGTCCTCGGGAGCAAATCACGCGGCAGGTGTAAAACCAGCCAAGGCTTCCCGCATCTGGGTGGGACACAGAAGACTGTTTATTTCAGGGCTACAGGCCTTCAGCGGGTTCTTAGGATCTACTCCGTTTATTGCAAACCTGAGGGAGGGAAATGAATCAAACAGCTGGCCCCAGTGCACATAATAGGAATAGCCTTGCAGGTAAACTCGTACATGTAGGATCTTAACCAAAATGCCAGGGGGCGATTCCGGGGAGAGGCTCTCCTCCCAGCTCGGCCCCCACGACCGGGTGCCCTCGGGCATGTTTCCAAGTTACCCTGAGCCTCAGTTTGCTTGTCTGTAAGATGGGGATACAGAATCTGGCAGCTTAGTGGGTAGCCTTAAGCAGCGAATGAGGATATTATTCCACTTAAGCCTCCCAGGTACATATATTATCTATTAAAAGCAAATGTACGCCAATGATCTCCTCGCAGGACGAGGCTGGAAGGAGAACATACCTTTACCTATTTCGGCCAGCATCTCCAAATCCAGCCGGGACATGCTCTGCTGCTGGGCAGGGTGGCCCAGGCACACCGTTCTGATGCCATCTCTCGGGGACCCCAGCATGGGGTCTTTCCAACACCCTGAGGGAGAAGCACACAGAACCCGGGGACATTTAACACACAGGTACCCGCGAGGGCTCAAAGAATGAAGGAAATGCCCTTTGAGTGCCTGGCTTGCTTTTCTCTCTTTAACATGAAAAAAGCACCCACTTCTGAACCCCAAGACCCCAAGCCAAGATGACGTTTCCACCTCTGTTCACCTGCCCAGCCCACCACCCTCCACGTGGGGGAGGTCCAGGGAGCTGGAGCCCCGAAGGTGTGGGCCCGTGTATGTGACTCCCTCTTGTTCAGGACCTGGTGCCCCTGGCGGGAGCTCCCTCTCACCAAGCAGCCCCATGTCCCAGGAGAGCAGGGCAGGGGGCCGCAAGGGCGGCGCACACCGTGAGCGTGAACAGCAACATCAGGGCCAAAGCCCTCAAGGCTACCATCGTGCCTGCTCAGAGCGATGCACACTCACTCCTGCACCCATTTTATGGAGGGGGAAACTGAGGCCAGCAAAGATCAATTAGAACTGCTCGTGGCTGCACAGCTAGGAGTTACCGCACGTGGTTATTCTGTGCCCAGGATAATGCTTCAGTACCTGTGCAAATCTTTACAGAAATCCCTGGTAGTCCCCAAATAATGGAATATTTGCCCACACAAAGGAATGAAGTACTCATACCTGCTACCACCCGGGTGAAACTTGAAAACGTGGCGCTGGGCAAAAGACGCCAGTCACAAAAGATGACATGATTTCATTTATACGAAATGTCCGGAACTGGCAAGGCCACAGACAGAAAGCGGGTCGGTGACAGCCAGGGGCTGGGGGGGATGGGGACTAAGGAAGCGGCAGCCAAGCAGCACTCGTTCTTTCTAAGGCGAAGAAAACGTCCTCAAAGTGACGGGGGTGACAGGTGCACACTCTCTGTGAAGGCGCTAAAAACACTGGACTATGTAGGCTTTGTGCGGGCTAGTCATATATTATGTGAATCATAGCTCAGTAAAGGTGTTTTAAAACATTAACAACGCAGGGTGAAAACAGCATACACTTTGGCCCGATTTTTAATAGCAAAAGGAAATGCACGGCATTGCTAAAATGCCGTTTTCTAAGAGAGCTAGGGTGAGGGTTAATAAATCCATTTACTTTCCCACATTTAGCCTTTTTTCATTTTTGCAGAAGCCTGCATCACTCTTAACAGAAGATACAATGATCTGAACTAAAACAATGCATGGCTGACAATGTAAAGAAGAATGTTTTATGAACATAAAAAAATTTAAAATCTTGCTCAAGCCTTCTTCTTCTGCAAAACTCTCTGTTGGCTAAGTGCTATTTTTCATCTCCATTTTACAGATTAGAAAACTGAGCCAAAGGTCAGGGAGTCATCTGCTCAGGTGTCTTGGATTGAGCCCCGCGTCAGGCTCCCTGCTCAGCGGCGAGTCTGCTTCTCCCTCTGCCTCTCTGATCTCTCTTGCTTTTGCTTTCTCTCAAATAAATAAAATCTAAAAAAAAAAAAAAAAAAAAAAAAAATTTGAAGCAGGCAAAGTGAACCTCTGGCGACAGAGGTCAGCGAGGTGCCTACCTTGACAGGGAGGCGCACGGGGACTGGCCACGTTCTGTTTCTGGGTGCTGTTGTGTGTTTGGGGGGTCAGATGTGTCAGGTACTCAGGGAGGGCTGCCCAGCAGGTGGAAAGGCTGCGTGCAGTTCCCTGGAGGAAGGCGGCGGGAGAGGGGTCGGGACCCACGTGGCTGGACGCCCAGGCCGCAGCAGGAGGGTGGGGGGAGAGGGGTCACTCAGGCCTCGAACTTTCACTTGACAACCGTGTCTTGGACGGGGCAACGGGGCCTCGGACACAGAGGGGAACAGATGTGAGCCCTCAAAAGTGCTCAGGCTGAGAGAGGGACCCAAACAGAAAAAGGTCAGCAGGAGGAAGGGAGCTGACCTCACCGGAAACATACGGCAATCGACAGAGGGCAAGGAGCTTGCTGAGGTCCCACATTGGCCGGGGAGGCCGCCTCCCAACACCAGGGATGTCAGGGGCCCAGCGTCCCCAGCCCGTGCGGCCTGCGCGGTCTGTGCTATGGCCAGAGTCCAGGCCTGCAGTCACACGGGAAGGGACTTCTTAGCTAGACAGAGTGGACAGTAGTCCTCTGAGCCACCAGCTCTGTCTCCCCCCACCAGGAACTCCCTCCACTTTCTCCCTCTCTCTCTCTCACTCACACACACACACACACACACACACACACTCTCCCTCTTCCTCACACACGTACACACACACGCACGTATGCACAGAAGTACACGTGCATACCACAGGCACACAGAGCCCGTGCGACGTGGAAGGAAGCTCTACTTTGGGCACCAAGGACGGAACGAGGGATCCTTGCCTGGCCAATCCTGGCACCAAATTTCCTGAGCCACAGAGATGGGGTCAGGAGTGATCACATGCCGCTGTTCTAAGCAGACTGAATTCTAAGACTTCCATAAAAGCTACTGAGAGGAAATACTTTTTTTTTTTTTAAGCAGGGTCAGGCAGAGCCCAACATGGGGCTCAATCTCACAACCCTGAGATCATGACCTGGCTGAAATCAAGAGTTGGACACTTAACTGACTGAGCCACCCGGGCATCCCGAGAGGGGAGATACTTCTTAAATGTATACCACTGGACCCAAAACTGAGAGGGTATGGGCCTGGCACACACCACATGGAACGTGAGAAAAATGAAGCTAAAGGCAGAAGACGAACAAGATAGAGAAACAGTCCTCTAAACCATTGTGCACCTGGGCCCAGCTGCACCTGAATGCAAAGATCCAGTAAATCCTCTTTTCTGCTTAAGCCAGTTTGGGTTACGGACGACCGGTCACTTCTAACAAAATGAGTGCTTACATTTTTTTCTTTGAAAGTCAGTGCCTACTGAAACACTCGATGAAAACTACTTCAACATTCTCTACTTTAAGAGAACGATCACTGCTTTTCTTTTTGATTACGGTACAAGTGAATGAACTTCATTTCCAAAAACTCTGAGGGGGAAATCTGGCTTTAGCAAGAGCCACATCATTCACCAGCCGACCTCAACCCTACACCCACACCCAGTCCTGGCTCTCTCCCTCCACAGGACGCAGCTGGAAGTCCTAATTCCACAGGGCCCCCAAGGTCACTGCTCTCCCCTTGATGCAAACTTCCCTGTGCCAGGCTGATAACACAATCTCTTCGCGAGCCGGGTCCGCTTCGTGTCGCCGCAGGTCAACCCTTCGCCCTCTCTCTGCTCAGTGCATTTCCAAACGGCAAAATGGCTTAACAGCAACACTAAAGGACTTCATTTAGGGGGACGAAAGCCTCCCCTAACCCTGTGAACAACTTTTATTTCTGCACATTGCCTCCAGTTCTTCATCCACGCGCACCCATATCCTGTAAAGTCACAATCAGATTACACGTGCATGTCGTAATCCACTCTGACCGCTCACTCCTCCCACCCCACCCCCAGCCATCGTCCCCAAACATCCCAGACCCCAGAACATTCAGCCCAAAGCCCCGGCCGCCAGCAGCAGCATGGCCCAGCACGGTCTGGGGTGGGAGCCGGTGCCCCTTGCTGCAATGAGGCGGGAGATCGGGGGTGCGGGACAGGGGGGGACCACACGACGGTGTCCAGACAAGTGTAGCCGGCACCCCAGTCATGCAAGCGAGCTTAGCGCCAGACGTCAGCGGCTCCCGGGGTGCGGCCATGCCGGGGACACACCTACGAAGACTTTTGCCAGAAGGTCTCCTGTGGATCTAGTGAAGCCTCCAGCACAACTAGAAGAACTAGTCCAGAACACATGAGATGACACCGTGGGGGGGGCAAAGCTCAGAGAAATCTAGAACAAGACATTCTACAAGACAACTGGCCTGGCCTCTTCGTAAGCTGCTATTTAGAAAAGAGAGAGAGAGAGACAGAGCGAGCAGGGGCGGGTTTGGGGGGAAGGGGGGGCGCTGGGGGACACTGGAAAGACCTAACGAGACAAAGTGACCGTGCGCAGCACGGAGGCCTGCTGGAATTCTGGCTTATGGACGAGCAGTGGGGACAGTCCGGGACAAAGGGGAGACGTCCACGGGGCCTGAAGAGCCGCTGGGCGTGTTTGCAGGGCCGCCTCGGGTCCGGGTACACGGGACCGCGTCCTCGCATGCAGGACGCTTCCCCAGAGTTCAGCTAAGAGACGGACACACAGAGAATCCACAGTGAAAGGCACCCATTCCTGAATCAAGCATGTGTGTGTTCTCTACGATTCCTTCCATGTTTCTGCACTCTGAACAATTCCAATTAAAAACAAAAAACGAAAACAGCTGCGGGCGGAGCGAGGGAGGTGGGAACGCAGCCCTTGCCCGGCCCCGTGGCCCCGAGAAAGGCCACCGTCCCCGTTCGCCAGAGAACAGAACTGAGGCCGATGACATGCGAACACGGGCCCAGGGCAGCCCCAGGGCGCCCCCACGTCTCCGGTCTCTCTCCCCTCTCTCTGCCGGTTCACCCTGGCACAGGTAAACCTAGATCTTTTGCATTCCCACTTCTGGGAGCCATGGCAACAGTGACCTAGCTCAGACTCCAGTTTCAGCCAGCCTCCTCCCTCCACCTCCCGCTGCACCCCTGCCCCATCCTGCCCCGTCCGCGCTGGGGCCCGGGCCACCTGCTCCCTGGGCTGCTCCCTCCTCCGATGGCTGTGTGGCCTTGCCCAGGCTTTCGCCCTCTCTGGGCTGAGATGGAGTAAGAGCCCTGCCCTGGCCCTCTCCCTGGCTTGCTGGTGGGAGACCGTGGCAGGGCACAAGGAGGGAGCCCAGGGCAGACGGAGGCAGGTGAGGCCTCGGGAGCCACGCGCACCCCTTTCTACACAGCCCGCACACACGCACACACACAGGCACGCACACTCGAGTCCCGGCTCCGCTCTGCCCGTGGTTCTGGGCCCTTGCCCCCAGCAAGGCCCCTCGCCGAGACACTGCCTCCTACCCCAGTGCACATGACAATTCCAGA